TCGATTTAGGTTCAGATGGTAGGGACGCCTTTCCCAAGTGCTTCTTTAGCTCTTGAAAGGCTGCCTCACATTCTTCGGTCCATTGGGACTTCCTCTCCTGTTTTAGAATCTTGAAGAAGGGAAGGCTCGTATCAGTGGTTTTCGAGATGAAGCGACTGAGTGCAGCAATCCTCCCATTAAAGCTTTGCACCTCTTTTGACTTCTGGGGTGACTTTATCTCTAACAAGGCTTTTATCTTCTCGGGGTTTGCCTCAATCCCTCTTTGATTCATAATATATCCCAGAAATTGACCCGATGCAACCCCAAAGGTGCACTTTATCGGGTTCAACTTTATCTCATATTTTCCTAGGATTTGAAAAGTGGTATCCAAGTGACTTACGTGATCTCCTGCATGGAGGCTTTTCACTAGCATGTCATCAACGTAGACTTTCATGGTTTTGCCAATGAGGTCGGCAAACATCATGTTGACCAACCTTTGGTATATGGTGCTGGCATTTTTCAATCCGATGCAGTACAATCCTTAGTCTGTGATGAAAGATGTGGCCTCTTCATCAAGTCTAAACATGGGTATTTGGTTATATCTTGAATAAGCATCCATGAAGCTCAAGAGTTCATGTCCATTGGTGGAGTCCACTTGTTGGTCTATCCTTGGGAGGGGGAAGTTGTCCTTTGGGCAAGCTTTGTTCAAGTTGGTGAAGTCGACGCCCACCCTCCATTTTCTGGACTTCTTCACAAGCATTGGGTTGGATATCCACTTCAGATAAATGGCTTCTCTGATGAAATCGTTGCGACTTAGCTTGTCAAACTCTTTCTTCAATGCCTCATATCTTTCTGTGTTGAGTGCTTGCCTCTTCTGCCAATGCGGCGTGCAAGTGGGGTTGATATTCAAGTGGTGACAGCTGACCCTTGGGTCTATTACCACCATGTCTTCATGCTTCCATGTGAAAACGTCTAAATTCCTTTTCAGGAAATTCATCAGCTCTTCTTTTGTCTCAGGGGGCAAAGATTTCCTTATTCACAAGACCTGAGTGGGGTCTTGAAAATTGGTAGGGAAAGTCTCGAGCTCTTCCATAAGAGTTTCATTCGGCTCAGATTCAATGATCCGAGGGTCTAATTCATCAAGAGGGTGCCTTTCTTCAGGGGCCTCAATCATGTTGATGTCTTTCCTCTTTTCGGGGGTCTGCCCTTGTTCAGTGGCGTCAAGCATCTCTACATCTGTGTTTTTATTTGCTGCGTCGGTTGTTATTAGATTCACTGTACGAGGCTCAGATTTTCGTAGGGAGTTGAGGTAACATGATCTCGAGCCCATTTGATCGTCTCGGACCATCGTGATCCCATGCTAAGTTGGGAACTTCATACATAAGTGGTGAATGGAGGTCACAGCCCAAAGGTCCTTCAGTGCAGGTCGGCCGAGTACTCCGTGGTAAGCTGACCTGTGATCCACCACTAAAAATTCCATGAAATGATGAGCTACTAGGGGTGCTGATCCTATCTCGACAGGCAAATCCTTGTGGGATGATGCTATCCCCAGTGAATCTGAATATTGGGTCAGTCATGCGAACCAAACCATGCTCAATTTGCATCTTATCAAAGGTTGATCCGAATAGTATATTCACCGAGCTTCCATTGTCAACCAGCATGCGCTTAAGTCCGTTCCGAGTCACAACGGCCCTTATTACCAATGCAGCGTAGTGTAGGTGATGCACACCTTGCGGATCTTCTTGGGAGAAGGTGATTGGATCCATTCTGTTGGTATGACTGGTTGACGATATACGTGATCATTAGTGGGTCTTTTGCTTCCCTTGTATAGTTCCTCTGGCCATTTCTAGTATTGCCCCTGGGGTCCCCCAATGATTGTATCAATTTTTCGGATAGTATCGCCTCCAGTGGCTGGGGCCTGATTCCTTTGCCTGGATTTTCCTCGAAATCTTTCTCTCATGTCTCTCCTTCAAGATGATTGATTCCGCTATCGCCTCAACTCCCTGTTTGGAGAGGCCGACCTGTGGGAGTGTTTATGATAATGGTCTCTCCTGGAGGAGCGTGAGTTGCTTTGATTTGAGGATCGAGGTGCGTCTCTGCATTCTTTAATGTCATGGTCATAGAGTTGGTGAAATGTGCAGAACTTTGCCCTTTCGAGGGGCCTGTTTGCCTGTTTCTTCTTCTTGCGTCGTGTGTTTGTTCCCCCGGATGGTCCTAGTTCGACAGGAATATTTTCATATGCTAGCACTGACATTGCATTCAGAGTGACAAAAGCCAATGACTATCCGGATGTGGAGGCTACTGTGTGACCTGCTTGGGTCCATTGCTGGGTGAAGAGGCGTGCCGCTGGTCCTTGACCCATCTGCCTCTGAGGTGGAGGAAGTCCCTGGGCTGCATGGTTCTCATGGTCAATCATCTCCTCATTGATGATTTCCATCCTCATCATCTCAACCAGTTCGTCATAAGTGCCTGGATTCTTGCTTCGGACGTCTCTCCAGAATAATGTGTTCATGTTGAGGCCTCCTTTCAGGGCGGAGAGGGCTTCTCTACAGGTGACTTGTTCGCAATATGTGATTTCATCAGTGAATCTGGCGAGATAGCTTTTCAACGTCTCGCCAGGAGCTTGCCTCACATCTTGTAGGCGTTGTACTGGAGCCTCTCCTTCCCTTCATGAGAGGTATTGGTTCAGAAATGCCTTCTTTAAATCTGACCAACTTCTGATGCTTAAAGGCGATAATTTGCTGTACCACACCTCATCAGCTCCAGTAAGGGTTAGACGGAAGACCCTACATTTCAGTGCCGGCGAGGCTCTTCTAAGGCTCATCTACATCATGTACTTAGTGAGGTGTTTCTTTGGGTCTTCCTTTCCTTCATACTTTGAGATTTTAGGGGGCATGAAGTTCACGGGCATTGGGAAGCTTTCGATTTATCTGGAGAAAGGAGGTTGTCATCATCGTCATCAATTTCGTAAGAGCGATATGACCCTTCAGAGCATTCCTCCTCTGATGCATTTTGGGGAGGTGGAGGTGCACCTCCCCGACTACCCCAATCCATTAGGTTTCTCCTCTCCCGCCTATTTCTAGGCCAAGGGGGTGCCTCCTGTTCTTCTTCTTACTCCTGCTCTGCACATGCTGAGCTGACCTTTGTATGGAGTGGACCCTATTGCTAGGATTTCGCTCTATCCAATCGAAGACACTAACCAACCTCTGAGGTTTGTATTCTGGTGGGAAGTTTTCTCTTAGCTGTGGTTCCGCTGCGTGAGTACCTTGGGTATAGGAAGTGGCATCCACTCCCACATCCCTCTCAATGGGGTATTCCCTGTGGTGGTTTGAATGACCCCAGCATGTGACGTCGGGTTTTGCCTTTGAGCCCGATGCAACCCTTATGGTATTGGAAAGTCATGCTGACCTTGGACTTGCATGAAGAATTTATGCATCGACAGATTCTGGGCTACAATGTCTCTCATGCTTACAACTTTTGAGCCATCCTTCAGTGAGTGCTGCTGTCCTATTGCCTCGGTGACATTGGTGATGGGGTCTCTGATGCGTGACATTGGTGCGGAGCACCTCTTCTTTAGAGGTGTCCCTATGCCCATTAAGATTTGCGTCCTCATTACTATAACTCATATTCTCACTCCCTTTTAAAGGGTGTTATGAACTTAAGACAGTAAGTTGGCTTGGTTTTTTTTCAAGAATGTTCATTTTTCAAGGTAAGTCGATAGTTTTTCGATGGCTTTTTCCGGTGGTAAATGGGGAATTCTTTGGTTGGAATTTTCTCATAGACGGTGCTAATCTGTTGACCTTGCGAATTGGACCTTCACGTGGCCAACTGAGAGCACTCCACGTGTTCCTCCCTGCACACAACAACGCACGGTAAGGAGCACACAGTCGGAACCAACGGGGATGGTGGCGGCTGCATACACTCTGACGGTCAAGTCGGTGGTCAATGATCAGAATGGTGCTGAAATTGTGTAAGAGAGTGGGGAGGAGAATATATAATGCTTGAATGTGGAGAACTTAGTTTAGTATCAGTTTCATTCCCTTTGTCTATTGCCAAATCTTGAGTATTTATAGACAAAGAGCACCATTGGATGTGGGACACATGTATGCATCTGACGGCGCGAGACATCTGCTCGTAGGTGTCAATCAGTCGCATCTAGAGTGGGGCGGTTATTAATTCTCCTGAGTTTGGGTTGACATAAAGTTGATGTTACATCAACTAGACCCATGGAGATGTCACATCCCTAGAGGATCCTGACGTAGATATGCTTCTGAAATTGGCGACGGATGTATCTGTTAAAGGATCACCTCGATTAGCCAGACGCCTTGACTGAAGGGGGACGCTTCGGTTGTTCAGCAGATCTAGTTTGTAAAGTGTGTGTCTTGTGGTGCACGTGAAGTTGGAGTTCGGCCGAAGCCGACATCACTTAGGAACTACTTCGTAGGGACATGTGGAACCTTGGAGAGGAGAGGGACAGGATTTTCGAAGTGGTTTGGTGCGGTGCGGAGAAGGTTTTCAATTTTGAACTACTTCCTCTATCACGTAAGGCTTGTACCAGCTCTCGAAAAAAGAAGTCGAGTGTGCGTAGAAGTCACCAGCCCCTGACCTGTAACACCTACTCGCTTACCGAAAGCAAGGGAAGATTTTTTGTTGCTAGGCTTGTTTGGAAAGGATGCCCTCTTGCACTAGCTTTAATTTTAAAAAAATCAATTTCCATTAATGAATAAGCCCCTGCTTGTTTCCCATTTTTTTTCATTAAAATGAAAAATATGATCGTTATCTATTACATCAAATTATCAAATTTGAATTTTTATCTCTTATGTGGAATCCGTAATGACTATATTTTTTTATTCTTATTTTTACATTAATGTGTATCAAACGGGGCCTAAGTGAATTTGAAGTTGATGTTTAATTTAAAAAAAAGAAAGTAAATTTGACTAATTTCTAGGGGAGGAGCCCTCCGGTGGAAATATACACCAATTTCAACTTCACCAATCCAAAAAAAAAAAAAAAAAAAATACACAAAAAATTCATCCATCTTCTCTCACACACTGACACTCAGAGTTCTTTCTCTCTCTTCACCCCATGAATGTGCACCGCGCTCAACTATTTCAAATCTACCCTTGATCTTTTCCTGGATTTCGCTTATTTGTATGTAATTTCAAAGTCTTTTTGGTAAATTATAGGGTTTCTTTTGTCCTTTCCTATTCTGCACACCCTGTCTCGCTGTTTCTATGAAGCGCTATTATGAATTATCTGGACAAATCGCACACAGTTGATAAGCTCAGAAACACATTTCTCTCTCACGCAGAGATTCTTTTTTTTTTTTTCTCTTCTTGCTCTAGAGAGAGAAACAAACACGAGCACTCATTTGCATTCAAATTAGTTCTCTCTAGTCTCTTTATTATCTTCACTAAAAATATATTACACAATGCATTTTTGAATAATCTCTCTGGAATTTTCTCACTACTTATAATTGTTTATATAATTAATACGCTGTCTATGCAGTGATTTCTCTGCGAGGTGCTTGTATAAATGCACATACTGGAGGAATAGATTTGGGCGTTTTGTGTATTTGATGTGCGAGAGAAAAAGCCGATAGATCGGATATGGCGGAATTTTCCGGCGAGGGAAGTGTTAGCTGGACGCCGGAGCTGAGTTCCGGCGAGGCAAACGATAATGAGCGGCCAAGTGAGGCTCCGCAGGCGACTCCCTTGACGATGTCCGCGTCGTTCAGGGAAGGAGGCAGGAGCTCGTCGCGGAGGAGAGCGGCGGTCCGGCCAAGTTTAGATGCCGATGAGTTCTTTAATCTGCTCCACGGGTCGGATCCTGTGAAGCTGGAGCTCAATCGCCTCGAAAATGAAGTCAGAGGTCAGTCCACCCCAACTGGATCCGTTAGATTTATGTTGTGGTCTGATTTAAAATTCCGTTGTTTCAGCTGTATCATGTTTTTCAAAAAAAATTGAACATATATTTTTGTGGAAAAAAAAACCTGACTTGAACATGGCATTTTGCTTTTCGGTTTGTGATTTGTAGATAAGGATAGGGAATTGGGGGAAGCACAATCTCAGATCAAAGCTTTGAGGTTGTCAGAGCGTCTTCGTGAAAAAGCTGTTGAAGAGGTTCCATTTAATTCCCTATGTTTCCTTTCGAAATTACATTTCACAGTGTCGTTGTTTTCTGGTCTAGAAATTGTTAATAATGCTTGTCTAGTCTTGAGTTGAGTTAATTACTCTATGTCAAAGCTTAGGAGGTTAGAGACCTTACACATTTATTTATTTAATAGCTGTTGTCACCGTGCCATCTAATGGGCATGCCGGATTCATATTTTCATTAAATGCCTGACATGTGGCGTGAGAGGAAAGACCTGGCTCTTGCACCGTGTTAACCGACTCATTAAAAGCTTAAGAGCTTAAATGGTTAGAGAGGGATTTTTATTTATTTAAATGTTTTGTTCAACTACACGATGTATGGAATTGGGAATGTAAGACATGGTAATAAGCCAGGTTGGCAAGTTTTGAATTTATTTTGGTGACAATGTAAAGAGTTTGAATATATTATGTGAAGAATTTGATTAGGACTTCAGCTTCTAACCTCGGTGTCCTGGGGTTGTGGGACTTTGTTTCTTGAAAATTGGACCTTATTAGCAATAAATATAGTTTCTAGTGACAATGGAATCAGAAAAAGGATTCCCCTTGCTTTGACTTGGACCCCCTCTTTCTTACCTACTTGAGTAGTAGCAAACTAGTCGAAAAAATGTTTTTCCATTTGCTCTCGTTTCAAGTTCCAAAGAGAGGGTAACTATTTCGAACTCGATTCTTATATTTTGTCACTGCAATTCAGTGTTCACTTAATTTTGGCTTTTGAAGTGTCCACTTTAAGTTGTGATATTTTCAGTAAAATTCAGTTTCTTTTAGTTGATTTTTCTTAAATAACACTTTCCGCCATACCTGGCTGTTGCTCCCTGGGCAGATCCGTTTTCGAAAGCATCTGGCTCAGGGTTTTTAAAATTGTCCATGTTCCCCATTTCTGCTAGGAAAAACAATTTTTAGCTTTTGTCTTTTTCTCAATGACCTTATTATCATTCTGCATGCCAAAGTGCTGTGGAAGATTTTTGTGATTTCATTCCAATTCTAGCGTTTTAATGATTGAATGTTGAGTTTTATTGAATGTGTTACGCTGTCAATTTTGGCAATTAATGTCCTTTGGCAGTGGCAAAGGTATAATTGATTTAGCTAAATGTTGGCCATATTGTAAAGTTCAATGCTGCATCTAAAACCTGGTTTGGTACCCAATAAAATTACAATTCATCTTTCTCTCTTCTTATCAACCACACATTCTCCAATAAAATAATATTACATGTAAACCATTGCTTCTTTTTTAACTACACAATATTAAAAAAAAAAAAAAATACTATTTCAAAAATTATAATCCCAAAGAATGTGGGCCAAATGGAAACTAAATTATTGAATTCCTAACTTTACTCATTAGACTGAGGTCAGTCCCCAATGATAATCATCTTCCACTCCCAAGTCCCAGCCCACTCGAAAAAAGTAAAAGTAAAATAAGTAAGTTAACTCCAAGTAAAACTAAGAAACTTTAAAATTTGCGTTCTTTTCTCGTAAATAATTATTTTTACAGTATTCCAGATATTTTAACTGGGTTTGTTTTCATGAAGTTAGTCGATGCAGTATTTTTCTTTTTCCTGGCATCTATGTCTCTCCCTGATTGTTGAGATGTATGAGGCTGTTGGTGTGAATTTTGAGTTAAATTAACCTGCCATTTAAATGCAGCTCACTGAAGAATTGGCAAAGGTGGAGGAGAAGCTCAAGTTAACAGAATCTCTTCTAGAAAGCAAGGTACCTTACATCCTTTGCCTTTTCAATTTATAATTACAATAAATGTGATTATGATCATTTTCTTGCTGCAGAATCTTGAAATCAAGAGAATCAACGATGAGAAGAAGGCCTCCATGGCAGCTCAGTTTGCAGCAGAAGCCACTCTTCGAAGAGTTCACGCTGCTCAAAAGGATGATGACATGCCTCCAATTGAAGCCATACTGGCTCCCTTGGAGGCTGAGCTCAAGCTTGCTCGACAGGAGGTTTCTGCTCGTGCTTGTTTTATCTTTGGACTTGTGCTTATTTTTCATATCGTAATTTTCTTAAATACTTTTTCCTTCCTTCTTTTCAGATTGCTAAGCTTCAAGATGATAACAAGGCTCTGGATCGGCTCACCAAATCAAAAGAGGCAGCTTTACTTGAAGCAGAGAGAACTGTGCAGGTGGCATTGGCAAAGGCTTCTATGGTGGATGATCTCCAGAACAAGAACCAAGAGTTGATGAAACAGATAGAAATTTGAAAACTCATTGAAGAATTTTGCACTGAATCAATTTGTAACTTACAAATTAATAAGACGGCCATTAATTGCTTTGCATTCTTGAATTATTTCATCTTCAGCCAGAAGCTCTTCCAGTGTAAAATTTTCCTTGTCTAAAATGGTCTCCACCTGCAATGGAAATGTTATTAGAGAAAGGACCAACATTTTTTACTCAAACGTTTGACATTATCCAACCTTTTTTACTCAACAATTTGAACAGGAAAAGTTGAACATTGTAAGTATGTGAAATGTTGAAACATCTAGGAGACATGACCTCATAGAAAATAAAAAAGGCTAGCGAGGTTATATCCCTCAGCATATAACCTAGAGCAATATGAACAAGCGTGACATGGAAGAGCAGGTAAACATGCATAACTTGAAAATTACAACTCGGTCCTCGGGTGGGCCAGATCCCTAACAAACGTGTGATCAAGACACTAGAAACATGTGAGAAGATTATTATTCTCCAATTTAATAAATTAACTCAAGGTTCTAAATATTTTATCTAGAAAAGGGCTTCTAATAACCAAACACACTTCTCTTAATGGCACGGGTACTGTTCCATTGCTTGCCCATCCACCCAATAATCCATTACAGCCCAAGATTCAACTATCTAGAAACAACTATGCATGACTCGTAATGATTGGGTAACAAACTAATATATAATCACTCAGGCACAGCATAGTAGCGAATACGAAATGCAATTATATAAAGCCCCTTATCTTCTTCACGCTTCAAGACCTACAGTATTTCCCATACTTCTACACTCACCAAACTCCAGAAAATGAAGATAACTGGGCATCATACCCGGTGCCCGCAAACACATCCATTACTGGGATACATATTAGCAATTATAAACAAAACATAACATATTCTGAACACAAAATTAAAAGCACGTACTGGAAATGTAGTGGAGATTCGAGCCAAAGGCCAAAACATGTTGAATTTTGAAGGGTGATGACACGCTTCTAGACTCAGACTCCGATCCGTCAACTAAAAATCTTAGCTTATCTAGCCAGCGTCTGCAACAACTTGTATCAACGATCTTCAGTCAAAACAAGCAGGGGCAGAGCCACCTGAGGTCTAGTGGGGGCAGTTGTCCCCACTGGATTTTGGTCATGGGTATTTCACCTATTACACTTGAGAGAGGCGGTCGGTTTTAAAGGAAAGGCGAAAACCATAAACAACTATATCAAAAAGTCAAGAGAGATGGTCGAGAAAATTACTATGCGTAAGGAATATTACCATAAAAAACAATAAATTTTTTTTTTTTTTTGGGAGCAGGGGGAGGCGGAGGGGGCGGGGGATCCAAGGAGCCAGAAGAAGAGAGTAGCAATAAGGCGGGCTGGAATCTTAGATCGAGGTTGGTTGAAATTAAATCATTCACAACCATCAAATCGAGTGCGAAACCGGTATATTAATGTCCCAATAGATTTAAATCATGATTTTACAAAAAAAAAAAATCTGATATTACAGTCTGCTTCCTCGGAGAAATCACTGCAACACGAGATAAAATTGGGGCTAAGATGGTGATGAACGATGAACAAATCCACCCTATTTCCCTCTACTTCACAGTATATAGTTCCAAATTTTTAGTGCAATACCAATGAGAAAACCCATAACCGCTGTCTACTGCTCTCTTGATAAGAATTAAAACAGGCCTGGTTGGATATTCTTGTGGATTAAAAAAAGAAGATGTCCTTTTACACATCCATCAACTTGAACGTTAATTTCGTCGCTTTTCATTTTCACGTACAGTTAAACAAATATTGACAATATTGTTTTTTAAGGAACATCGAGAAATCCGATCAGAAATTTGAAGGAAAATAATATTATGAATAATAATTTTTTAGAATATATAAATAAAAAATTTTGAATTTAATGTATAATTAAAAATGAGCATGAGAATTAAAAAAAATTATTTCAAAGAAAGTCAAATAGGGAATAAATAAAAAGAATAGTCTTCTCTTTCTCCGCCAACCTAGTATGCTCCTAAGACAAAATGCTAGACTTCGCCTATGTATACGTGTTATAATAACATAGCTATTTGAGACAGAATTTAGGTTGTGGGCCTTATTTTATGGATAACTGGATTTTATAATGGTGATTTTTTCGAGAAAGTATATAGTTAGAAAATCGAATTTTTGACGTTTAATATTATTTTATTGAAAGAATGTATAATTAGAAATAAGTTCAAAGAAAAATGAGCTTATAAAAAAAATGGGGCTTAATATAAACCTTATGAGTATATCAACCGTGATTATGCTAGTTCACTCAAAATATTTCAAAACATTCGTTGGGAAAATAATTTTGAATGACGAGGTAAGAAATATTGGGATAGAAATGAGTTTTGGAAATATGAGATTCATACATACAAGAGAGTCCATCTCTATTGTAGGGATTAAAGAGAGGAAAATAATTTGTGTAAGCAAAGGATATAGAAGATAAGATAATAATTCAATACGCTCTAGTATAATAAAGAATTCATTTTTAGTACGAGTATTAGATAGAGAATATATAGATAGAATTATTTTAAACATACAATCTTAATCTCAAAATAGGTATTCAATTTAAACCTTAAATATCCTTGCAATTTATAAGTTAATTTCATAAAAATTCAATTTTTGTGTATTTTATAGGTTATGTTTAGGGATTACAAGTGGGCCGAGCAGCTCGTTGGCTCGCCCTCTCAACTCGTGAAAATGGCGCTCGTAAAAATATGAGCACGAGCACGAGCCGAGTGGGCCGGAGCGTTGTGCGAGCCGTTCGTGGGAAACCAGCTGGCTCGTGGCTCATCAATTTAAAGTAAAAAAGTGACCGTTTCGGTCACCGAACTTTTTCAGTGACCGTTTTGGTCAATGAACTTCTTTTTTTTTTATTTTTTTTATTTTTCTCATTTCTATAAATAGTCCCATTAACCCCCAATTTTTTTCATCTCAATTCTCAACTCTTTTTCTATCAAGTCTCAGCTTTCTTGTGCAAAAAAGCTTCTATTATTTAGTCAATTATCTACAATCATACAATATTAATTTTTTTTTTTTTTTTACAGTTTATTCAGTTTCAATTTCAATTCATCCAATTCTCATTTCTCACTACATTTAGAGTGTGTTTGATTGACATGAAAAATGTTACCTAGAAATGAAAATGTTTTCCTTCTTTTGTGGAAAATAAAAACCACCTCCACCCAAGGAAAATATTTTCCTTAAAAATAAGGAAAATTAGTCATGTTTTTAAAAGTGAAAAATATTTTCACTGGAAGAGGATAGGAATCAAACATTTAAAGTAGAAATTTGGATGAAAAATTGATATTTTTGTAAAAAATAAATGTAATTAAACACACCCTTAATGATTTATTGGTAAAATGATTTTCACTTCAAGATTTCGACATGTATAGCGTGTTTTGTAGTGTCTTTTTCATCTAATACTGCGTACCAAAATCAGAGTACAAATCTATAGTTTTTAAAATTATTTAATGATTTCTTGGTAAATGATATTCGCTTCAAGATTTCAACACGTATAGAACATTAGTTAGTGTCTTTTCCTCGTCTAATATTGCATATCAAAACCCGAGTACAAATTGTAGAGCTGATGTAAATACGGTAACGGAATTGCAAAAGTGCTATAGATACAGCCTCAAAAAAGGGTAAAAAAACAAGGTGGACATGCGTTAAACATAACTGGGAATTTTGAAAAAAAATCAATCAATTTTTGTCAAATTAGTCTGTCCTTTGATTCACTTTTTTTTAGCCCGTCTAACTGGCTTTATTCAAGGAACAGTTAAGGATTACCCCCCCCCTCACATTGGGGGCGGGGCCCGCACACAATAAATGCGTGGGACGTGTAAATGCCCGAGTACATGTAGGCGCGGGACCCGCCCCCATATGAGGGACGTGTAAACATCGGAGTACATGTAGCAAATTCCAATGGTTAATTAGGCTGCTATATCTTCCTGACAAGTGCTTCCCAAGGCTGTGTTATAAATTCACGATCTGTGAATGTCATCCAGTTGTCTTTATTCCTTAATCTGGTCAAAGTATTCTTCCTTGTACCGCTTTATCTTTGTCAGATTACTGTACTTTCCTCACATGGTTGCATGTGCTTGAGAACTTCTGCCTTAGGTAGGACATTTCTTAGAATGTAAAGCAAGAAAAGTTGTAAATGGCAAAAAGGACCGGTTCCTTGGCAACTTGGCAAGTTGGCATGCCCCAAACTAACAGCATCAATACCAGGGAAAAATACACATCGGGGCTGGGACGAAGCAGACGCTACAAGCGAGAAATGAGGTCCCCTTATTGGTCTGTGCTATAATAGGGTCACTGTTCTAAAAGGCGTGCATTGACGACGTCTAGATGTTGCCAATGCGCGATCACGATGAAAACGTCAAGCCAAGTAGCTTGACGCCTTATTTAGCAATCAACAACAATCGTTGACCGTTAATGCGCGCCTAGGCGCAATTATGTGCACCTAGATGAGTATACTTTTTTTTTTCTTTTTTTTTTAATTGAAACTTAAATGTTGATTTTTTTTTTTATTTCGTCAGTTCTAAATGCAGTTTGAAGCTTTGAACAAAGGGAATCTCTCAAAAATTCTTATTTATTTACTATTTAATATTTACATTCGGAACTTATCTTTTTGTTTAAAACTTTGGAACAATATATAAATTTCTTATAAATTTGTTTTAGATGTTTGGTAGGTATTTATTTTTAATTATTAAATGATCTTTTGATTAATTAAAAATTAAAATAATATTAAAATAAGAAAATATCTTTTTACGCTTTTTTACTTCTATGCCTCGCCTAACCCATAGTTTGGCCTCTACGCATTGCCATATATTACGCCTTTTAAAACACTGAATAGGGTGGCATTTTCTTCGTTGATATTATTTGTGTTTGCTCATTTACCCTTCCAAATAGATTGAAGATCCAAGTTGTCTATGAGCCCGTTTGGTAAGAATTTTGGTGAAAAGTCAAAAGCTACTTGTTCAGAAACTGCATTTTGAATCTATATTTGATAATTATTCCTTAGTGCTACTATAAGAAGTCCCCTTATGGGTCTTTGCTTCTGATCTGGTTGACTCCGACTTTAGAAGATGCAATTATTCATTGGATAAATATA